TAGTACTTTCTGAGGTTTGCATAAATTGGATAAACTACAGGTAAAATGTGACATGTCATTGAATTTTTCCCAATATTTAAGTATGTAGCTCTGAGGGTCAGAAGATTTGCATTATTTGTATGAACCCACGCAATGATAGTTTTCATTGTTCCAGGGTGATTGCTGTTGTTGAATCCTCATTTCCTTTATTACCATCATTCTTTAAATTGCCTTTGCAGTTTTATTTTCAATGTATCTCAGTTTCAGAAGTATTTGCATGTTCACCATTTGCAAAGTCCCATTATGAGAAACCCAATTATGTATTGACAAATCATTTTTATAACCAATTGGTTCCCTTTAATCACAAATAAATATAGAATGAATGATAAAGAACCTTCAGTGTTTTAAAAATGTGCTTATTTTTCTCTGGTCATTTACTCAGTTGCTAGATAAATAAATACATATTAATTTCCTGTATGCTGCCAAAACATTTTGTAGGATTTTGCATAAGCAGCCATGAAAAGACAAGTAAGGATGCTTGCATCCATAGAAAATCCATTTCTTTAGTGATAAAAAGACAGTGAAACAAATAAATATGAGGAAGAGAGAGAGAGGACAGAGAGAGACAGAGAGAAGTTTTCAATAGAGCACTCAGCCTACTGTTCTTCAACGTAGGGATAGTTATTAGTAATTGAACAGGATGTCTCCTTCACATACAATGGGAAGTTTGAAAAAGGCTTCCTTCCCTGTCTGCCTGGAGACATGCAGAAGCATGAGGACTGGGGTCCAAGGTCATCCTGGGCTCCATTGCTATAGCAGGGGAGGGTGGCACATGCCTGTAATCCCAGAACTTAGGACGTAGATAGAGGCAGGAATAGAAGAAATTCAAAGCCAGCTTGGACTTGTGGAACCCAATGTGATGGCTTCAATGAAAATGTCCCCCATAGACTCCAAGTATTTGGACATTTTGTCTCCAGTTGGTGGTGCTGTTATGGGAGGCCTTGGAAGGTGTGGCTATTCTGGAGGAAGCACATCACAGGGAGCAGGCTTAGAGAGATCATAAGCCTTGCTGGATTTTTGAGTTGCTCTCTTGCTTCCTGTGCCTGCTTGAGAGCCTAGCTTCTGCTCCTGCTCCAGTCACCTCTGCCACCACGTCTCCCTGCCATGATGGACTGTAATTCCCCTGGATCCATAAACTCTTTCTTTTATAACTTGTTTTAGTCGGTGTTTCTATCATAGCAACGGAAAAGTAACTAATACAGACCCTGACAAACAAACAAACAAAACCAAGAAGGTTACAACCTCAAGAGCCATTACTATACTCCAGGATGAGAGAGCATTCCTTGAGTCTGATCTGGTAGCAACAGTGGAGTTTCATCTGGGTTTTGCAAATTGAGCGTAGATTTTTCTGATGAGAATTATGCCCATGTGGGTCAGGGAGAAGCTAAAGGGGAGGGAGGAAGAGAAGATGAAAGGTTGCAATTTCTTGCTTGAAGCATAAGGATAAACTTGTTATTATTTAAGATCAGAAAAACAATTGTGGTAAGAGAAAGTCTGGGTAGAGAAAATTAAAAGTATGGATTCTGACCTTTTTTTTTATTTGAAGGAACCTTTTAGTTACCAAGTGAAGGAACCAAGCAGGCAATAGGATATCTGAGTTGGGGTCCTGGTGTAGAAATAGAGCTGCAAATGTAGCTCAGTTCTAAAAATCTCATAATTTCAGGGAAAACCCAGGAGAAAACTATGAGCCGTGCTTCAAAAATTATCCCGTTGCAACTCCGCCCTCAAGGAAACCACAGACACCAAGACAAGGAATTAATTAATCAATCACGTTCCATGTTACAGGAAGTATGTTCAGGTGGAGAATGTTGATATTCAGTGCAGAACTACAGAGGTCAGCCTTGATGGAGGAGGGGGAAAGGCAGGAAAATGGTAATGAGATGCCTGCTGTGGCGTGGGGGCATGACGGACAGGTGCTAACGAAGGAGGCTAGATCCAGAAAGCTCCATTTAGACGAAAATTTCAGTAAATGAATTCACAGTGGCAGAAAGAGTAGCTAAGGCGGAGGAGCAAATGGAACCTGACCTGGGTATGGGGTTTATCTTATCGTGATGACATCTTTCGGAATCAGGTAGTGGTTTTAAATTGTATGACATGACGAATATACAAAAGGCCACTGAACTGATTATTTTCAAGTGGTTCAAGGGGAGGATTTTACACAATAAGAATTTTATCTTAAGAAAAAAGCACACTGGGGGAAGTTGAAGAGTGAAGGAGGGGAGGAGTTCAAATCAGAATCAGCAGTGCTTAGAAGAACAAGTTGAGGGTGGTGAGTTCAGTGAAGGCCTTAACATGGAAGAAATGCTTGCCGTTTCAGCAGGGAAGGGAATCATCTCATAGAGCAAGAGAAGATGGCCTAGAGGACAGAGGATGCAGTCACTGGATGAACTCCTAAGTAGGCAGTAGAGCATGAAATTTCTGTACAATGAACAGGGTGTCCAGAGAGAAGTACGGACGCTAGCTGACCAGTCACAGGAGAAGACGTGGAACACAAGGCAGAAAAGTGTGGGACTTATGTAGGTCTCTTCTGATTTTCCTCATTTCCCCCATGAACCAGGAAGAAAGATGATTGACGGTAATGGTACCGTGGGAAAGTAAGAAAGGAATGAGCCGCTGTCTAAGACAGAACAAAAGAGAATTGGGTTGTTGTGATGTACGAAGTGGACCATCAGAAATATGAACTTATTGGAGTCTGCATGCCTGTGGCCCTGCTTGCCAGTCAGCTGTGTAAATACGGAGTGGAGCAGGTAGAGGGTTGGGGTGAGTTTTGCTTTGAGAGTACTGAGGGGGACTGAGAAAGTCAGGGGAGTGGCTGCCTCTCGAATGCCTGTAAGATGAGGCCATTAAAGTATATGGAAGGAACCGAAGACGTGGTACTGTGGGCTGACAAGGCTCAGTCACTGTGTAAACATCATAGAATGTTCTCCATAAACCAAGGTCTGGCATCAGGAGGCAATGTGATCTTCCGGCATGTAGCCTGTCCTTCACTAAAATGTCATTAAGAAGCATGCAATTGTCTTGTCAGAGCTGAGATACCAAAGGAAATTAGCTATACAATGTAGAGTGAGCATGATGGAGTAGGCCACTTGAACTTATCACAAGGAAAGCTCAATATCATCAGTAGTGATCATAGGTGATTGGAGATATGGAGTTGGGTCTATTTTCATCAAAATCATCCTTTAAGATTGTCAACAGAAGAATCATGAAATGGAGAACTAAGCTGAAAGTGAAGGCTGAAGTGACAGTTTATGCCAGTAAACCCAGAACCATCACACTCAGACATGGAGAAGTCCATACCACAGTTTGCTGATGACCTGCAGCAACTGGCCCAGTGAGGGGCACCATTGACATCAATAGGAAAAGCTAGGTATTTCTGAATCTAGAGTAAGAATTTTCTGCAAGTAGCATCAGGAGCAAGAAGGACAAGTCTACTCCAAGTCCATTTCAAATCTAATCTCTGCCCCAAACCAAGAGCAATACAAAGGATCTGCAGAGAAAGTTCCAGAGCAGGCTCAGTTCCCAGTTAAAGAGGAAACCACACACTACATTAGTTACCTGTGTAATTATAGTTATGGTGTCTTCATTTCAACATTAGGTCAGGTAACTTCTGTGGGAACAGATGATTTGGTTTGGACACTTGAATGATACCACAGTGATCTAATTTAAATACAGAAGCCCTGGTCTGTATCTTTTCTGTGTGATTGCAATTCAGACTAATAGTTCAGAGAGTATTCTTTACTGAGTGTTAACATTCTGGGAAATACATATGTTCAAAAGAGCGTCTGTATCTCACTGATGATCATTCTGTAAATTTAACAGATGAGATTTTACCATGTCAAGAAACCTCGACCACCAAACAGGACCTATGTCATCCAGATACAGATCTCTGCAAATTGGATTCTGCAGATGAAGGCTTGAGATGTAAGTGTTAAATTGTTGATGAGTATACAATTTATAAAACTCAGACACCAGTTACAGGAGCACGCATGCACAAACCTTTGCTGGCATTAATGTCATAGTTTTTTTCTGGGATTTCATTGAAAGTTTGTGGTTTATTAAAACAGTCAAAAAGATTAAATACATCTAAGATAATGTTTGTAAAATAAGCCCATTAACATCGAATTTTAATGATATACAATGTTTCTCCTTCAATATTCCAGTTTGATGATGAATGGTGAATAAATTCATGGATCTAATTCCTTAAATAGCTAAGGTGAAATATGAAATAAAAAAAATTATACTAGGGGCTGGAGAGATGGCTTCACAGTTAAGCATACTGCTGCTCTTGCAGAGGACCTGGGTTTGGTTCCCAGCACCCACATGGTGGCTAAGAATTGTCCTTTAATGCCATTTCCAAGGGATCTGACATCCTCTTCTGGCTCCATGGGCATTGCACACACATAGTGCACCTACTTACATGCAAGCCAAACTTTCATACACATAAATATTAATTTTAAAATTATTTAATACATTATAATAAAGCTGTGTTGCATGAAAAACTAGAACTCTCCTTCATGTTAATGGTTCTCACTAGAGAGGATATACAACTCTATCAACTGTTAAGCTTTTGCAAAACACACTTGCTATATGAGTTCCTCAAGGATGTGTCCAACCTGATGTTTGTAGACTGCATGAACCCAGGATAGCTATGAATTTGGATCAAGACAAAATGACTTAAAGCCTTATGAGATTTTTTTTGTGTGTTTTCTTTTGATAATACAATTTCATGGATCTGGGACATGCATTTTATAAACGCCTGCATCATGCCACAGTGTCAAAGTTGAATAGACTTGCCTGAGGCTAAAACTTCCTGAATCAAAAGTTCAGGATAGTAATAAAGCATACAGCATCATATGCGTTTCGGCAAAAGCTCCCTTAATTGATTCTAACATATAACCCTGGTTAAGCCATGACCTAGAAGACTTTAGTAATCAATGAAGACTTTTTGCTCCATGCTCTAGTATGCCAGGTCTGTGGATTTGACACTGACATGTGCAACTGGGCAGACGAGGCCTCTGTTGGGCAAAGCTCCTGGATGTGCACAAAAACAAGCAAGGTCCATTCGCCAGACTCCACACCCAGGAGGGATCAAAGTGGCGATGATGAAGGTATGAAATGAAGTGTAATCTAGCTTATGTGCGAGTCTTAGGTTTCTGCTTCATTATGACAGTTGTCTTTAAACTGAAGGTGTTGATATGCATATACTTTAATAAAATCATAGTATGCCACAGATATTGAAAGTGAAAATGGACTGTTTCCAACTTTGTAGGAGAAAAAAAGCTACATCGACTGCTGTCCTTTGTCAATGTTATTATTTTCTTATTGCCAAGGCGTGTTAGAATTCATGTGAAGTAAACATCAAGGTATGTAGAGCCTTTCGTCAAGTCTAGGAACTCTGTTGGTCACTTCCACGTTGAGTTTCCTTCTAATGTACCTTTTATTTTCTGTTGGTATTTCTCCCATCACTTCCCTCCTCGCTTCTCTCTCTCTCTTTTATTCCCCCCCATGGTTTGTAAGCTTTACTTAATATGTATTTTTTCAATAGCTTTAATAAAAAATATATATGGTGTGTGTGTGTGTGTGTGTGTGTGTGTGTGTGTGTGTGTGAGTACACTTGTGGTTGCAAGCATGCCAGGGCATGCATGTGAAGATCAGTGTTCACCTTCCATCAAGTGGGTTTTGGGAATTGAATTCAGGTTAGAAAGCTTGTACTTGTGTGACAAGCACTTTTATTTGCTGACACATCTCACTGGCCCAGTATTCTTAAATTATTTTATATTTGTTTAATGAAACCTAAAGTTAAGGCTGGAGAAATGAATCGATGGTTAAGAGTACTTTCTGCTTTTCCAGAGAACCTGAGTTTGGATCTCAGTATCTACCCATGTGGGCAGCTCACCACTGCCTCTAACTCCAGCCCCAGGGGATTCAATGCCTCTTCTGGCCTCCCTGGGCACCTGCACACATATGTGCATGTACCTATAAGCAGACAAACACATACACACACAATTTAAAACAAAAATAAATAAAACATATAGTTCCTTAATACTTCTATCTCCTTGAATGAGAGAAAGACCTTGAAATTTTTATCCACCATTTTGCTATTCTTTTGTCCTGAGTTACAGGTTAGCATTTTGGGGGAAGATTTTAAGTCAGTATCTTAAATTTTTATATCAGGATGATCATAATGATGCATTTTATCATTGTATTTGCTCACCTTGTTTACTTATTCTTTGTTGGTTCATTGTTTGCTGTGATGCTGGGGTTGAAGTCTAGGACCTTGTACATGGTCAGCAAGTGTTTATCAGAGCCACAGTCCAGTCTCTTAACACTGCTCGTTTGTAATTTTTCATGTTCCCTCTCTTGGTTCTTCTGTCTTCTTGTACAGGTTGGTTTCTTTAAAACTTAATTACTCTTTTGTTGAGAAAATATGTTTGCTAATAAAGTCTCTACTAAATTAAGTTTATTCCCAAATAATGATCTGATCAGACCTTTTTAGAATGAAATTCATTTACACTTCTCTACACACATGGTGGTGATCCTTCTTCATCTCCTGTAGTTACTGCTGTCATTAAGAAGTCTGAGTTCGGCTAGTTATTTTTCAACTTGTAGATTGTAAAAATATCTTTGTCCTTAATGTTTAAAATTTTTAGTATGAGTGAATGTGTGAGTATGTGTAAGTATATTTTTATTCTACAATGCTTGGAATATGGATATTTCCTCAGGGGTGGAAATTACTTCTATTTTGTGCAAATCATTCTTTGTCTTTTTCTCTTGGGTTACTACAAAATTTAATGTAGACTTTAATCTGTGCTCCATAATTTGACTTCTTTTTATGTGCTACATATGATGTGCCAGTTTGAGTAATAGTTATTAGTAATGATTTCTAAAGCGGGTTTTCTCTTTGACTACAAGTCAGTTCAGATTATGTCTTACTGAGCATTTTATTTCTATACTGCTTTCTGCTGAAACAATAGCATCATAAGAAAGTACTCTAATTCTTCTCTCCCAGACCTTGTGTTGTGGAATCCAGGTATTTCTTTGTCTATAAACTGTGACAATCAAATACAATCTTGCTGTTATTTTATTAAGCAAAATCTTAGATCAAAAGAATAAGAAAAATAAGATTTTTTAATATATTTCTTCTCCAATTCTATTATTTTCTTTGTGTACACCCAAGTTTCTGACAGTTATCTATGAAGAAATTTATTCAGTCCTTGCAAAGCAGGTGTCATGGAACAGAGTTCTTCAATTTCTGCAAAGACTTTATTTCTTTGTATCACAGGGGATTTCACCTGATAGAGCAGGTCAGATTGTTAATTTTCTTTTCTTTTTGTATCTTTAAAATTTAATAACTAATGTATCAGGTTAGCATACAGGTAATGGATTTCGTTGTTTTCTACATCTAGGCGATGATGCGTTTTTGTTCCTCTTGCTTTCCGGGCCCTTTTCCTCCTACCTTTTCCCTCTTGCTCGTCCGTTCTTCATTTATGTCCCATGTGCTTTGTTACCTGCCCTTCCCCCACTCAGGACCACTTCTGATTGTGAATATCCAGGTTCCCATGAGCCAATTCTTTATAAAGCCATCTTTTCCCAAATATGTATATTTATGAAACATATGTCAAAAAATGAGGCAGTTAAACCTCTGTGGTTTCCCCTGGGCCCTCTGCTCCATTCCATTGATATACATCCATGTTTTATGCCAGATCATCTACGTTTCATTACTATGGCTTTGTGGTATAATTTAAAGTCAAATATTGTGATAACAGCAACATTGTTTTCATGCTTGGGATTGATTTTACTATTCAAGGTATTTTGTGTTTTCATATTCACTTTAGGAGTGTTTATTCTATATCTGTGAATAAGAATGCAATTGGAATTTTGATGGGGATTGGATTGAATCTGAAGATTACTTTTGATAATGTAACCATTTTCACTGTGTTAATTCTGCCAATACATAAATTTGGGAAGTCTTTCTATGGTTTTCTCAGTGTTTTAAAGTTTTAATTTTAAGAGTCTTTGACTACCTTGATTGGGTTTATTACTTGGCATGTCCCTTCCTTCCCTTCCTTCCCTTCCTTCCCTTCCTTCCTTCCTTCCTTCCTTCCTTCCTTCCTTCCTTCCTTCCTTACTTCCTTCCTTCCTTCCCTCCCTCCCTCTCCCTCTCTCCCTCCCTCCCTCCCTTCCTTCCTTCCCTCCTTCCTTCCCTCATTCTTTCTTCCTTGCTTCTTTAAAAGATATGCTTTTATCTTATTAGTTTTTTTGAGACAAGGTCTCCCTTCAGCCCCAGTTAGTGTGGAACTCACTGTGTAAACCAGGCTGGACTCGATCTCACAGAGATCTACCTGCCTCTGCCTTCTGATTCTGAGTGTTGGGATGAAAGGTGTATGCCATCATGCCTGGCTTATTTTTAAGTATGTGTTCATGTATTTGTCTCTGTGTGGATCTGGGAACTTAAGTGCAGTGCCAGTGGAAGCCAGATGAGGGTGTTGGATCCCATGGAGCCAGAGAAACAGTCAGCTGTGATCTAGCTAAGAAGGGTGCCCAGGTACTAGTTCCTGCAGCGTTTTGTGTGTTTGGGTTTGGCTTTGGTGACTCTGTGTCCTGTTCCTCTGCAGCTATGGGCCAGGAGCTGCACCAGGACCCCTGATACACCTATTGTTGATTTTTGATTATTTCAGATTATTCTTATTATGGTGACATGAGTGACAAATTCTAAGTCCCTTATATGTAGTCCAGAAATAAGAAAACATTTAGAAATTCTTTGGAGGTTTGTTATCTTTTTCCTTCTCCAGTCTGTCCTGCTCTTTGCTTTGTCCTCCATCTACTATGTTTAGTGATCTTACTGTGGTATCACTTAGCTCTTTGGGGCTTGAGTACAATGCTGATTTAAGGATTCATACCCATGGGTGTTCTTGGAGTTTCCTGCAACCTGTTGCTTAACTGGAGTCCACAGTGATAAATGCATTGTGAGCCTGCTTCCTCACGCTTGTCTGCCTCCTTCTTTCAGAAGAGTTTGGCATTTGTCCTTCTGTCTTTTTCTGTGACATTTAAATCAGTCACAGTCCAAGATCTTACAGGTTCTTCCGTCCCAATGTTAAAAAAATTCTGTGGCTTCAGCTCTGTTCAGGATTTAGCATAACTATTCTTTGTCACTTTTTAAAATTGTTTTTATATCTTTGATTTTCTTTACAATTATTTTATTTATTACTTTTATGTGTATAAATGCACGTATGTAAGTGCACCCATGTTGTGCAATGCCCATCGAGGTCAGAAGAGGGCATCAGATCCCTGGAACTGGAGTTACAGACAGTTATTAGCCAGCTGCCTTGTGGGCACTGGGAATTGAACCCAGGTCCTCTGCAAGAGCAGCTAGTGCTCTTAATCACCAAGCCGTCTTTCCAGCTCCCAATTCTCTTAAATAAGAGTTGGAATATTAACTTGAGCTATTTTGCTTAAAGAATATTACTTCTAATAAAGAAGAGTTTCACTTAAATTGTTGGCTTTTAGCAGGTGTAGGGATATTTATTAACTTGTAGAGAAAGGAAGATTTCAGATTTTTCTTTTGAAAAATAAATTGTAGACGTGTGTTTGTATCTTTGTTTTATCAATATTATTGATTCCAGAGCAGCCCAATTTTTAAAAATATCAGCTGTGAAAAAATGTTTATTTACTACAAAATCCATAGGTACCGTTTAATAGGATTGTAGATATCTGATATTTCCACATGATTTGTAAGAAAGTATTTTAAATTGTATTCTTTGAAACTATAAGGATTTTTATATGAATACTAGAAAAATATAGCACAAAAGGGAATAAATTCTGGCAAGAAAAATGATAAGTTCTTGATTATAAAAATAACGTCTCAGAAAAATGTAAAAGATTTATTATTTTTGTTCATGCAATATTATAAAATATTCAGCTATAGTAATGTTATTTTAACATATAATCTCAAATATCCTAGTTACATGTTGTTATTTATATGTTATATTTTATTTAAAATTTTCAAATTAAATCTTTCTTTTTTAAAAAAAAAATTCAGCATGACATTTAAAAGAAAGTATTGAGCTGGTGAGATTCTCAGCCCTAATGTGCTTGCCTTACAAACAAAACGACCTGAGTTCAGTCCCCAGAACCCATGTAAAAGAGCCAAGTTTGGTGGCATGTTTGTAATCACGGTGCTAGAAAAGAACAGACTAGGGCTTGCAGGCAGCCAGTTCCCTAGGGCTTGCAGGCCGTCAGTCTTGTTTAATCATTTCGAATCCATAAGCCCTGGATCTCAAGACTAGACCCTGTCTCAAAAGAAGAAGGTGTGGAGTGACTGAGAAATGCAACTAATGTTGACTTCCGGCCTCTACATGTGTATGCACAGAACCCCTCCCCATGAACATGCATACATAGGCACACAAGCCTAAACACACCATAAAAAGAGAACAGAAAATCAATTCAGTGGTACAGAATTTTTATTTCACAATTTTTTATATGAAGTTTGAATTTCAGCATTGAGATTGTCATTATATTTAGTTTGAGAAATGATTTGACATGTGAGTTAAAACCTATCATTTGTAGTTGCTATAATCATTTCAAATGCCATACCCTTTAGAGGAAAATATTTGTGTTCTAAGGCTAGTTTTGAAAACTGCAGAAACAAAATGGTTTTGTTCAAAGCAAACAGCTCATTGTTTATCTAAATTGCTTCTTTTTCCCTTTACGCTCAGGTTGCTGTGTGTGGATGAGGGTCAATCCTGCTTCTGCACTGGGGTGCTTAGAGAACAGGCTGCGTATAAACAGCTCTGCATGTCGCTGCTCGGGCAGCAGCTGCCACCTTCAGTTCTATTACATCATGGAAAACAGTGCTCTGAAAGTAGGGCTGCATGATGACAAGGTAAGACGAAACTGCAGCAGAGCGAGTCCATTGAATACGGGACACTTCTCTTGGATAATCACAGTTCTATTTCTCGGACCTGCATAGTACCTTCATATTCATTTTTAAACATTTTATGTTCTCTTATTTATGTTTATGTAGGGGGGCCTGCTTGTCTCTATGCCCACTATATTTGTACAATGCCATGGAGGCCAGAAGAAGGAGTTATAGGTGGTTGTGAGCTGCGTGATGTGGGTGCTGGGAACCCACCCCACGTCCTCAGCAAGAGCAGCTGAGCGGTCCTCCCTTGAGCTGTCTCTCCAGCTCCAGATTTAGCTATTCTTTATCCTAACTTTATTCAGTATGGTTTTAAAAGAATTATTAAGAAGTCACTTTATGAGACACTTTCATATTTAAAAATACATGTGATGATATGCATTAAAATTCATGAACCCATAAGTAAGAAATTATAGAGCTAATATAAATGAGATGTGTGCAGTCTATATTGTTAGCTTGATTTTGAAGTTCTGATGTGATCTGTTAGACTTTTATATTTATGTATTAACTGAAAGCATAAATATGATAGAAGTAGGCTGTGTTTTGGTCAGTAAATATAGTTTTAAAGATTACTAGTTACTGATTAAACACAAATGGGTCACTTGTATTAAAAACAAATAGCGTACTGGGTAGAGTGAGAGTTGCTCTGGTGAGGCTTGTGAATAAAGCACATCCAGTCTTTTCCAAAATAAATGTAACGCCAAGAAACCCCTGCAAGTGGGAGCATACATACAGTTCTTTGAGAATTTCTGTTGTGCTGAGGAATCTATTTATAGATACGTAAAAAGAAATCACAAAGATAAATAGCAATCATTGTAGAAATGGGAAACATTTAGAGAAAAACACAGGCACTCCAACACTGAATGAATGGAAGAGATAGAGTAGCCAAGTGAGTTTGCTTTGTTTCAGGATGCTTCGAATAAATCCAGTTGGAATTCCTCATGGCATTGGCCTGATGCATTTTCTTTTTAAAAAAATGTTTCTGATTTATTTATTTTTATTTTATGTGTATGAACATATTGCTGCATGCATGTATGTGCAGTCGTGTTGTACAATACCTGCAGAGGCCATACGAGGGCATCAGATCTCCTGGAACTGGAGTTACAGATGGTTGTTAGCTGCCATGCCTGCAGAGGCCATACGAGGGCGTCAGATCTCCTGGAACTGGAGTTACAGATGGTTGTACAGATGTCAGTGCTGGGCATCGAGCCCAGGTCCTCTGCAAGAGCCTTAACCGCCGAGCCATCTCTCTAGCCCTGGCCGGAAGCATTTTTAACAAAGGCTTGTCACCTGTGCCACTAACCACCTTTCCCCAGCATTTCCTTCTGTACCGTTTTCTTCTGTAGTTTGAAGTGTTAAGAGAATTAATCCACAAATATCAATATACTATTACCAAGACACTTAAGAATTCAAGAGGAAGCGTTTCCTTTTCCTTTGCTTTGTGGTCCATTTTCATCCTGTCTAGACTTCTTGCTTCAGCTTGCTCTTTTCAGGAATATTCATCGCGTTCTCAAACACCAAGGAGGATGAGTGCACTCTCAGAGTGAGCAGTTGATTCCTTACCTGACACGACAGGACATTGTGATAAGACATAATGCCTAGAATTCTTGTAGTATGTTTATCGTCACAGCTGGCAGCTAATTTCACTACATGTGTTTAATATGGTGAATTCAATTTCATAAGGTGTTTTTGTGGTAAAATATTTTCTTATACTTTCTACAGCACTCCGAACTTTCCCTTTATGTGAAAGTCCACACAAACAAAGGATACATGCTCTAACCCCCAAACCAAGCTAATCTTTACCAACATATGCTGTGGTATCATTTATATATCAATAGTCTTTCAGT